TCTTTCCCTGAGATGCATAAAGGAATGTTCTTGCTCTCTGGTCGTGTCTTTGAACCACGGGGAAGTGAAGTTTAAAATACTCACTGTTCCCATAAACATTTATTTTGCATAGCCAGGAACAGAAAAACAACTCAATAAGGCGCCTCGGCAGACTTCCTGAAGTCCGTGGGCCGCACTGCACCTGTGGTGGTGAGACTGGCTTACTCGGGCTAGACTGGCATGGGCTTATTCTCAGCTGTAACCAGCCTGCCTCGCCTGGACCCCTTCCTTGCCCAGGCAGGAGATGTAAGACTTTCTACCTGGAGAGACTTTGGATCCTGGCCATGTTTACTCAACCCCGTGCTCTGGATGGAGGCCCTAGCCAGCCAGCACGCCTCCTCCGGTGCAAGTGCACAGCCCTGCCGCCTGTCACACGGGTGACTCTGCTGTCCGGTCCCAGCCCTCCAATCTATTCCAAGCTTGCTCGCTGCTTAAAACGCTGAAAGCATCTCCTCAGTGGGGCCAGCAGATGACGTAATGGTTACTTTGCTGGACTCCCACATAGTCAACCGTGGTTTGAGTCCCAGACCCGGCAGCTTAAAACTCAGGCTGGGTGTGTGTGTGCGTGCCTGCCCACAATCCCTGAGGAGAATGGAGAATGGACTGTGGAGTGGTTATCCCACCAGGGGGTGATTTCTCTCTTCCTATCTCTGTCTCTCCAGTGAACATACATGTCCCATAGCAAAAATCTCTCTCTCTTGACAAAAAAATCTCCTGGGTAGTTTGCGGGGCATCTGGATATCAGGAAGACCACATTTCTACAATAGCCCGCAGGTCCACAACTGAATGAGGCTTTGTTCTGGGCCTGTGCTCCCGCTCCCCTGAAGGGAAAGGGTTCTCTCTCCTAAAGGGATTCATCGTGAAGAGGAGAGGGGCTGAGTTTGGATCTTGTCTCTAACCATATATGTTTTTCTTAAGAGATTTTTGCTATAGAGTGTGTGTGCTTGCTGGAGAGACAGAGGAACAGAAAGTGAGAAATCACCCTCCAGGGAGAGATACAAGTTTATAATCCCTTCTCCTCCATTCTCCTCTTGGCGTTTTGGGCACGCATGCACACGCACTTGGTGTAAGTTTCAAGCCAGCAGGTCTGGGATTCAAACCATAGTCTGCCACATGGGAGACCAGCACTTTAATTGCTATGCCACCTGCTGCCCCCCATCTCTAACTTTGAAAAGCTGTGTGACCTTGGGCAAGTTATTTAAGTTACTTTCTGAGCTCCACCTCATAGTTTCAGGAGTGTAGGAACCTTTGTAAAATTTCATGGTTGATGCAAAGTAGATGCTCAGTACATATTAGATATTGTTTGACAACACGTCGTAGGTCAGGTGGGTCTCGTCTGACCCCTGTGGGACAGACAGACAGGGCTGCTCTGGGGGCCCCAGCACAGCACACTGGTCTGCTTACATTTCTGCACACTCATACTTCTGAAGGGCGGAGTGAGGAGAGTGGCCACTAGAGGGAGCTAGAAATGAAAGTTTAGAACCAACCCGAAGGTCCCTGCACCGCCAGCAGGTGGCGCCTCTTGTCCTTAAACGCTCCATTTCCATTGCTCTCTCTGAACACTGCATGTCAAACTCTATTTTATATTCTTAGGTCTCAGGCAATTCTTAACATCTCGGTGCCTCAATTTCCTCATGTGTAAGGTGCAGATAAAAACAGCACCGCCTCACAGAGTTGCCGTAAAGGCTGGGTGAATTAATACCATTCGTACTTAGAAGAGTGCCAGGCACATCATAAGTGAGCAATGTTAATTGTCGGTTTTTTATTTTAAAGAATCACCTGGGGCCAGCCTGGTGGCACAGCCGGCAGTAAGCTGAACTGCAGTGCTGGAAGCCGCATGGCCGACCATGTGTTTGCCGGGCGTGTACACACGTGCCCAAGATGCAGGCATGCTGGAGGGAGGGGAAGGAGACTCACTGTCAGACAGGACCCTGCAAGGCTGCTTCTCTCCCTCTCGCATGCACATGTGCTATCATGAATAAAGTAAAACTTAAAAAAAATTGGAACAACGTTGAACTTCCCAAGCTTCTTGGTTGAAAGTTTTGACTTAGAAAAACCTTGGAAGGAGTCTGAGGATATATATTTTTTTTTCCCAAAAGGTTTTTGCCATAGGGCATATACAGGGACATGACAGGGACAGATGGACAGGAGATGCACTTGTGCTTGCTGGAGAGACAGACAGAGACAATGAGACAGAAAGTGAGAAATCTTCCCTTGGGCGGGGGATGGCCATGCAGCAATCCCTTCTCCTCCATTCTCTCCTGGAGGAAAAGGGCACACACGCACATGTACCTAGTGTGGGTTTTAAGCCACTGGGTCCAAAACTCGAACCACGGTCGATCTTGTGGGAATCCAGTGTCTTAACCACCATGCCACCTGCTGGCCCTGAGGATTCATATTTTTACTAAGAATCCCTTGTCATTTTTATGATTACACAAGTTTGGAAAATACTGGCTTACTCAGCTGGCCTGGGAGACCAGTTGAAATACACATTCTCTGAGAAGTCTCTCTTATTTCGCCATATGAAGCCATCTCTCTTCCCAGGTGTCCTCACGTCTGCACTCTTCTGTATTGAGTCCACCTTGTCTTAAAGTTATCTGTGAACGTGCTTGCAAAAGGCCGGGCTCAGCTCTAGACTCACTTGCATCTGGCAATATCTGGCATAGACAAGGTTCCCGCAAGGTTTTTCTTTTTTTTTAGTTTTTTGCTGATCGGGCATCTGTGCTTGTCAGAGAGAGAGAGAGATGGTGGGGGCGGGGCAAGGGAGTGAGAAATCGCCCCCTCAACCCCCCGAGGAAAGGGCAACATCACAATCCCTTCTCTGTTCTCACTTTTTGGGATTTAGGCCATGCACACATTTGTGCCTGGTGTGATTTTTAAGTTGCTGGGTCCAGGACTCCAACCATGGAGTGCAGTCAGTCGGCCATGTGGGATCCAGCCACCTTAATCTCCATGCCACCTGCTGGTCCCAAACTGTTTGCTTTTAAATGTAAAATATTGGAAAAGCAAGCAATTATTATTTTCAGTGGTCTAGAAAAGGCAACGTGTGACAGAAGTCTGACCATGGAGATAATTACCACTGCATTTCTTTTTATTTTTCTGGAGAGGCTTTTCCTACAGGGCACGGGCGCTCGCCAGACAGACAGAGACAGAGAGAGAGAAAGCGAGAAATCACCCCCCAGGGGGAATGGCCACGCTGCAATTCCTTCTCCTCCATTCTCCTCTCGGGATCTTGGGCACACACGCATGTGCGCCCGGTGTGAGTTTTAAGCCACCGGGTCCGGGACGCGAACCAAGGTTAACTACGTGGGAGTCCAGCAACATAGCCATTACGCTAACTGCTGGTCCCATTACCACTGCATTTCTACAGGCAACTCATTCAGTATCAGTTCAAATAGGTTCAGTCCTATATTTAAATATATTTAACACGTTTTCAAAACTATTCCTATGGTCTGCTTTTTTGGATGAAAGTATTTAATGACTTTGTAGGTTTCTCTTCAAAATGCTCAAGACCATGGGTAGAAAGTATTAATGCAATAGGAAGAGACCACCACCCAGAGTTGGGATCATATCAAAGGCCAAGATTGGCCAGAGGAAGTAGTGCTTAATAAATGTACATTGAGTGGATGAATGAGTGCATACACCCCTATTATCACCAAGGCTGCCTTATCCCAGGGGATCAAATTTATCCTCCAAACTCTAGATCCTAGCCAGCCCTCGTTGGCAGCCAGAAGGAATGGTGCCACCTAGGACTCGATACCCAGACCCTCTGCTCCTTGTCTCCTGGCAGCCAGCTGGGCGTTGCGTAATAAATTTTGCAAATGGTGGCCTAAAAGTAAGAATGACCATGGACAACTCAGGCTGCACTTCACGTCAGCTTCAGTACTCAGGTCCTACCACCACGTGGAATGCCCTAAGCGTTTCTGAAAGGACAAGCCCAGGCTCCAGGCCAGGGCCCCGAAGAAACCACTGCCTCAGAACACTGGCGCTAAATGACGGGGGGTGTCCAGTAACTGGAGTCAGTAGGGCTGAAGACACCATTTCATTCTTGCTTCTCATGATATCTGAGTGGCTGAACTGAAGGCTGGGACCCTGGAATACATTTTCATTTTTCAAATAATTATTTTATTCAATTTTATCTATTTACTTATTTATTTTAATTTGACCAGAGAGGGACAGAGTGTGAGGGAGAAAGAGAAATGGAGAAAGTGAGACAGCAGGCCGCCAGGTCCAAGACTTGAACCATGCTTGGCCATGTAGAAGTCCAGTGCCTTTAATCACCATGCCGCCTGCTGCCCCTTAATTTTTCTATATCACCAGGCATTATCCTTTTTTTTTCCCCTGAGAGAGAGAGAGAGAGAGAGAGAGAGAGGGTGTGAGTTTTGCTATAGGGCACGTGTGATTGCCAGAGAGAAAGGAAGCGAGAAATCACCCTCCAGGGGAGATGGCCACACTGCAATCCCTTCCCCTCCATTCTTGCCTTGGGATTTTGGCCACACATGCACATGCACGGCACTGGCGCGAGTTTTAAACTGCCAGGTGTGGGGCTCGAACTGTGGTTGACTACATGGGAGTCCAACAACATAATCATTATGCCATCTGCTGACCCTGCATTATCTTTTTTTTTTTAATCATTTTTATTTCAAGTATTTATTTTTTTAATCTCAGTTTTTCCCATCAAACAAGGAAGGACACAGCAAGTTGTGCTGCTGAAAACCAACCTTTCCCCTGTCAGTGGCCAACTCTCAGAATGGTTTAAGCTGGAAGGGTAGACAGATGAAGTGACAACCTGCCCCTTTCTTCTCTGCTTGAGTTCCTATCCAGGGGCAGTCTCCTGGCATCGGTGCATGGAAGACTCGCTCCTCTCCACGGGGGAGGTGTGGGGTGGGGACGAAAGCCAGGCCAGCTGAAGCCTTCTTACATTTTCCCCCTGCTTTTTCCATCCAGCTTGCCAACTCCCAATTCCAAGCTAAGTATGGTATTCTGCCCACTGATGCCGCTGCCCGACTGTGCCCAGGCCTGGTGGCCTCCTGCCTCCTCCCTGTACCCTCTCACAAACTTGCTCAAGGTTTAAGTTCTAAAGATAAGACATTTCCCCACATGTCCTCACATGCCCACACAGCCTGGACTCCGCAGCCCGTTCTAGAATAAATGTGAAGAGCTGCAGCCCACGGGGCTATTGCGAGGGGGTAGCGAATGAGGCCACAGACATGGGCTAAATATTTCCTGAAGGCAGGGAGGAAAGTCTGAATTTGGGACTGGAAACAGATTGTAAGACGCAAACGAAGGTTTTCTCGGAGTTTTTCATGGTTCCACAGAATTGCAAAATTTTCTACAGGGGAGTCTTGGGATTGATGACCTTAATCCAAACACCTCTTCTCACTGGCAGGGTTTAACAGTTACAAAATCACGACTCGCTAGTGGCAGAACCTGAAGCCTGGCTTCCTGATTACCAGGAGGAGCTGTTGCCCAACACCTCAGGTGTCACCATGCTCACCAAGTACGTTCAGGTGGGAACAGACCGGAATATAGAAAATGTCACGCATCTCACTGTGGAGGTGTCCAGTAACTGGAGTCAGTAGGGCTGAAGACACCATTTCATTCTTGCTTCTCATGATATCTGAGTGGCTGAACTGAAGGCTGGGACCCTGGAATACATTTTCATTTTTCAAATAATTATTTTATTCAATTTTATCTATTTACTTATTTATTTTAATTTGACCAGAGAGGGACAGAGTGTGAGGGAGAAAGAGAAATGGAGAAAGTGAGACAGCAGGCCGCCAGGTCCAAGACTTGAACCATGCTTGGCCATGTAGAAGTCCAGTGCCTTTAATCACCATGCCGCCTGCTGCCCCTTAATTTTTCTATATCACCAGGCATTATCCTTTTTTTTTCCCCTGAGAGAGAGAGAGAGAGAGAGAGAGAGAGAGAGAGATTTTTGCTATAGGGCACGTGTGATTGCCAGAGAGAAAGGAAGCGAGAAATCACCCTCCAGGGGAGATGGCCACACTGCAATCCCTTCCCCTCCATTCTTGCCTTGGGATTTTGGCCACACATGCACATGCACGGCACTGGCGCGAGTTTTAAACTGCCAGGTGTGGGGCTCGAACTGTGGTTGACTACATGGGAGTCCAACAACATAATCATTATGCCATCTGCTGACCCTGCATTATCTTTTTTTTTTTAATCATTTTTATTTCAAGTATTTATTTTTTTAATCTCAGTTTTTCCCATCAAACAAGGAAGGACACAGCAAGTTGTGCTGCTGAAAACCAACCTTTCCCCTGTCAGTGGCCAACTCTCAGAATGGTTTAAGCTGGAAGGGTAGACAGATGAAGTGACAACCTGCCCCTTTCTTCTCTGCTTGAGTTCCTATCCAGGGGCAGTCTCCTGGCATCGGTGCATGGAAGACTCGCTCCTCTCCACGGGGGAGGTGTGGGGTGGGGACGAAAGCCAGGCCAGCTGAAGCCTTCTTACATTTTCCCCCTGCTTTTTCCATCCAGCTTGCCAACTCCCAATTCCAAGCTAAGTATGGTATTCTGCCCACTGATGCCGCTGCCCGACTGTGCCCAGGCCTGGTGGCCTCCTGCCTCCTCCCTGTACCCTCTCACAAACTTGCTCAAGGTTTAAGTTCTAAAGATAAGACATTTCCCCACATGTCCTCACATGCCCACACAGCCTGGACTCCGCAGCCCGTTCTAGAATAAATGTGAAGAGCTGCAGCCCACGGGGCTATTGCGAGGGGGTAGCGAATGAGGCCACAGACATGGGCTAAATATTTCCTGAAGGCAGGGAGGAAAGTCTGAATTTGGGACTGGAAACAGATTGTAAGACGCAAACGAAGGTTTTCTCGGAGTTTTTCATGGTTCCACAGAATTGCAAAATTTTCTACAGGGGAGTCTTGGGATTGATGACCTTAATCCAAACACCTCTTCTCACTGGCAGGGTTTAACAGTTACAAAATCACGACTCGCTAGTGGCAGAACCTGAAGCCTGGCTTCCTGATTACCAGGAGGAGCTGTTGCCCAACACCTCAGGTGTCACCATGCTCACCAAGTACGTTCAGGTGGGAACAGACCGGAATATAGAAAATGTCACGCATCTCACTGTGGAGCACTATGCCTGGCTTGTGTTACGCCACTTCACCCTGCAGGACTCCCGAGGAGGTCTGAATACCCTCTTGCATGGATAAGAAAACACATGGGCATGCTTGGGTAACCTGTTCAAGGTCAGACAAGAGGCAGATCTGGGAGTCAAAGTCAGGGTTATGTGACTCAAGTCTGCTCTCCTGACCACAACTGCCTTTGCTAAGGAACACGGGAAGGGAAGCGGGGAGAGGGGAGGAGAGGGGAGGGGGGGAGGGAAGGGAAGATGCCAATAGAGTCCTTGCCAATAGACCGAGGTCCCTGGGATGTTCAGGATGAGCAGTCAGGGGGGCTGAAGGCAATTTTACGACATCTCTGAAAATGTCAAATGTACATATCCTTTAACCCTGCACTCCCTCTTGTCTGGGAATTTATCCTACCGATATACACAGACTTGTTTGTAAATGCAAAGGTTTGAAAACTACCCAACCTCTTATCAAAAGAAGATTGCTTAGAGAAGTTGTGATCTGCCCATGCGGTGAATCCCCATGGAGCTGCGAGAGTGAGGAAGCTCCCTGCGTGTGGATATGGGACGATTCCTCATAACGAGTTGCTGAAAAAGCAGCAAAGTACACAACAGTGAGAACAATAAGTTACATTTTGTGTTAAAAGGTGGGAAAAGAACATACAGATATCGTATATATTTATAACTTCATAAAGAAGCTTGAGAAGGATCCAGACAAAACCAATCAATTGTTCGCCTGTGGTGGTGGGGTGGTAGGAACAGGTGGGATAGAGACAGGGATAGGAATGAGGCTCCGTGCTGCATATTCTTTTATATTTTTTGATGTGACTGTATCATATACTTAAAAAATCAGATCCTGGAAAACACATACACGATGGATGATGCCCAGCTGACTGGTGCCAAGGTGTGTGCGCATGCACGTGTGTGCACACCTCCATGGCAGCTCAAAGGGGAGGGAGGCAGAGGATTGGGATGTGGAAGGGGCAATGGAGTCTGAGGAAGCCTTGTCTGGAGGTCATTTGATCCAACCCCTGCCTTTGTACAACGCAGCAAAGAAAGCACTAAGCTTTAGTGAGTGAGAAGTCAAAGGAGGAAAGATGGGGTGGGAGCACACAGAGGCACAGGGCACAAGGTGACACCCATGCTCAGGGAAGTCAGGGAGGCCGTCCTGTCCCTCTCGGTCAGCTGTAAGTCACCTACAGGTGAAAGGACCCTGAAGAAAACCAAGAAGTCTTGGAACCAGCAGTTAGAGTAATGGCTATGTTGCTGGACTCTCATGTAGTCGACTGCGGTTTGAATCCCGGACCCAGCGGCTTAAACTCACGCCAGGTGCGTGTGCGTGCATGCCCAAGATCCCGAGAGGAGAATGGAGGAGAAGGGATCGCAGCGTGGCCATCCCCCCAGTGGGTGATGTCTCGCTTTCTATCTCTCTGTCTCTCTGTCTTTCTGGCGAGCACTATGCGCCCTATAGCAAAAACCTCTCAAAAAAGAAAACCAAGAAGTCTTATAGCCTTGTCCCTTTCACAGGGATAAGAGGGTGAAAAGGTGGGGAAGGGGGTTCTCAAAGATCTGCCTGTTTGTTACTGAAATGAGCACAGGACTGGTGCTCAGAGGGGCGGACTGGTACTGAGCACAGACCTTCGGGTCCGGGCTGGTCAGCCCGGCCATGTCTGGTGAGCACCTTGCATGTCACACCCCTGTCTGCAGTGCTTTCCACCCTGGGCAGAGGCAGCAGGGGAGGACAGTGGGGAGACACAAGTGGAGGCTCCCAAGCCATGGAGCCTGGGCTGCCCTGCCGCGGGCCACTCACATCTCCAGGACCATGACGATGTTGGCCTTTTCTTCGAAGGCATCCACACACTGGACCAGCTTAGGGTGGTGGAGGCAATTCATAATGCTGATCTCCTGCCGGATATTCTCTTTTTCTTTTGCTGAATATGCCTTGAAGAATTTCCCTGCCCAGATTTTTCCAGTTTTCTTTTCTACAAGTCGAAAGACCTGTCCAAATTTCCCACTGCAAATGAAAGGAGGAGAGAAAAGTCAAATTTAGCCAAACTTTCCACTCAGTTGGGGTTGGCATATTATTGCCCCTGTGACCAGTCTGGCCTACCCCTCTTCATAAAGAAGGACTTAGGGGTACAGAGCCACACCATGTGTTCACACGTTGCCCAAGGCTGCTTCTGTGCCACAGTGGCAGAGGTGAGTGACAGGTGTGTGGCTCACAGCCTAAAATACTGACCACCTGGCCCTTTGCAGAAAAGGCTTGCCCGCCCCGCTCTTGATCAACGAACATTTCTAACGTTGACAAACCTACTCACCACCTTGGCTAATGGACTCCCCTCTCCGCCCGTGGGGGACCTGGGCAGCTGGGTCGAGGCAGCCCTTCCCAAATCCAGAGAGCGACTGAGCTGTCGCCTTCCTTCTGCACCCGTCTCTAGCACTGGTCCTCTGGTCTCAGACCCCTGGGAGGGGGACGTGCGAGGGTCTCCTGTGACAGAACTCACTCTGACAGGGCAGACTCCTACAGCGCCGTGGGGCGTTTTCATCACTCCTTTAATTCCCAGAAATCACCAAAAGTAAAAACGGAACTCCATTCCTTTCTGTCCCACCTCTTATTCTCCTCCAGGGGCGGGGAGTTGGGGTAGATGGACAGCCTGTCTGTGGCGAGGGCTCAGGGTTGGGGTCTGACCCCATGGCTACCCTCCACAGTAAACGGTGTGGACCGAGCTCACAATGGGAGTGGTTACGGCCAACTGTGCCTGAGTGAAGCGCTGGGGCCGGCCTCACTGAATGGTGGTGCATCAGGCTCAGGGGACACGCACGGGTCAGAGGGAGAGCACTGTAACGCCAATCCCAAGGCCCAGTCCTTTCTCTTCAGTGCCGTGCTGCGAATGGGCACGGAAAAGGAAGGGTGTGCCCCAGGTTGGGCAGAACTACATAACCCCAGAGGGAGCCCGAAGGGCCCCAAGGCCGCTTCCCACTCCACTTACGATCCTAGTCTCTCTTCAATGTCGTAGAAGTCAGATACTTTTTCCTCAGTATTGACTGTCACCGTCCGGTAATCAACCTCAGGCTCCTTCTCATCTGCAGGAAATGGGCCAGAGAGAGTGTGAGCCAGCCTTGCTCGTCCCCGCCACCCTGTGGGCCTGACCCAAGGACAGGTGGCCAGCACTCACCATCATCCGACACCTCCACTTCATCCTTCGGCTCTGGGGGGACACAAGGACGCAGGTGATTAGTGATGAAGACCGAGGAGCGGGAGCCCCGTGGAGGCCTTGCCAGGCCCCAGCTTTCCCAGCAACAAGGCCAAGACGTCTGGGCACTCCCCTGGGGTTGGGCAGGGACAGGCACAGACTGGCTAGATCTGGCCACCTCATCCTGCCCGGCCCAACTGCCCCTCCAGGTCTCGCCTCCATCCCTCCCCTTCTAACCTCTGGTCTCTAGATGTTCCCGCCCCCACACCTCTTCCAGCCCTCTTGACTTTCAGAACCTAGAAACAACGGTGACAGTCCCTTTCTGCCCACAGCTTTCAAAGGCTTCTAGCATTGGATCCATTTACCCATCTGTTGCACATTTTTTTTTTCCTTTTTCTTTTTTTGGAGAGGTTTTGGCTATAGGGCATGTGCACTTGCCAGACAGACAGAGAAAGACAGAAAGCAAGAAATCACCCCCCAGGGAGGGTGGCCACGCCACAATCCCTTCTCCTCCATTCTCCTCTTGGGATCTTGGGCACGCATGCACACGCGCCCGGTGTGAGTTTAAGCCACCAGATCCGGGACTCGAACCGCGGCTGACTACGTGGAAGTCTAGTGACATAGCCATTATGCTAACGGCTGGTCCCTCTGTTGCACATTTTAAAAGGATTCTCGTAAGCACCAGGTATCCTGCCCGTTATCGTGGGCATGCGGTATACACAGGAGGGATGAGCTCTCCTCGCGTGGAGCTTACAATGTAGTCGGAGATGCGAACGCACATACACTTGAGATGTCCATTACGAAGCACTGTAGAATCAGTGTGTGGTATCATGGTACAAACTGACACACGGTGGAGGGAGGTGGCACCAACAGCAATGATAAAGCCAGAGCTGTTACTTTAGGAGGAGGCAGCTTTGGGCTGTGCCTGGAAGGGACGGATAGGCTATGCGGGAGGGTGAGTTATGCCGCTCAAATAAGAACAACAGGGGCCCGTGAGGTGGGGTGAGGAGGAACGGACTCACTTGTGTCACCTGCTCACATGGATGTATCAGAGTGAAAGGGGACACGGGGGCCAGGCAGGTTGTCCAGCAGAACACACCCACTTCAGAGCTCCGGGCCACCCTCTGCCTCCATATACGTGTGTCCCTTGACAACAGGGCCGCGATGGCGTCTTCGCCCTGGCTAAGCTTTGGCTTGTCTGACTCTGACTTCCTCAGGTATCAGGACTCTGTAGCCCCTGCTAGAGCCTTGGGGCACCTGTTTGTGGAACTCTGTTGGTGGTTAGAAAGTAGTGAAGGATCGGGAGAGGCCTGGAGGGCCATGGAAAGGCAGGTGTGCCCAGTTAAAGAATCAGAGAAGGCTGGGACTCGCCTATGGGGGGAGGGCGAGAATCTAAAGCAGACATGATTTTAAAAAAATCACACAATTGTCAGTGGTGAGATTGGGGCCAGCAGGTGGCGTGGTGGTTAAGGGCGCTGAACTCCCACATGGCCGACCATGGTTTGAGTCCTGGACCTGGTGGCTTGCTTTCTCACTTTTCCTCTCTCTCTCTTTCTCTCTCTGTCTCTCTCTGATCAAATTAAAATAAGTAAACAAAGTTAAATAAAATAATTCTTTAAAAAGAAGATGGAAATCATGCAATGGTCAGAGGTGAGATGAAGGTTCTGGACTAATCTACAGGAGGAAGGAGTCCTAGGTCCTAGCCAGCTCTAGATGAAAGGTTTGGTAGGCACCTTGTGCTCCTCTCAGCCACGGTCTGGGCTGTGTTTCTGGGTGATGGATGGACAAAGGGAGGTTTCCTGAGGAAATATAACAAGGATGTGAGAGAAATCATAGAGGGCGGAGAAGGGTTTTGAATCTGCTATAGGGTGCAAGTACGTACTGGGAAGAGATAGACAGTGGTGGTGAGAAACCACCTCCGGAGGATGGCCACACTGCAGTCCCTTTTCCTCCATTCTCCTCTCGGGATTTTGGGCACTCATGCTCATGCACCCTATGTGTTTTTCAAGTCACCCGGTCTGGGACTCGAACCACACAGTTTGCCATGTGACCAGAGAAGAATTTTTAAAGTGTGTGTGTGTGTAAGTGTGTGTGTGAGTGTGAGTGTGGGGAAGGTGGGAGTGTGTGAGAGTGAACAGACTCAGGGGAAAGGGTGTGATCCGCTGAAGCCCCCAGCAGAGCAAGACTGAGGAAAGAGGGGCGGCTCCGGTGGACGAATCTCCTAGAGACCAGACTGGACGCGAGCAGGGTTGGTCAGACGCCGAGCTGAGGAGGGGCTGCACGGGCGCGAGCTGCGCTGGGCAGTGCTTTGTCCGAGTCGTGATGGAGAACGGGGTAGGCTGGGCAGAAGGGGCCCTCGGAGCTACCACAGGCTACAGAGCCGCAATACCTGGCTGTGGCCTGCGCACGTTTCCCTGTCGGTTTCGGAGGGCCTGACAGCGGCGGAGGAGCGCGCTCCTCTGCTGGGTTCTAACTGGGCTCAGCCCTGAACGGGGAAGGATGATGGCGCTCATTCCGCATACTGGCACCCCGACTGGCTTGCAGGTGCATCGCTCTCTGGTGGCCCTTGTCGTCCTCTACGAATCTGAGTCACTCAACGCCCAGAAATGCTGACTTTGAGGAGTTAAGTCAGGCCCCACCCCAGCAGTTCCCGTGAACCCCCCCACTTCATCTACTAGACTCCCGGACAGTCTTGTCTGGCCTGTGCTTTTGTATTTTTTCATAGCAGTCTCCTTTCTGAGATAAAATATTCTTCCCAATTCCACTTGTGTTTAGTTTTTGAAACTAAACTTTATCAGCAGCATTCTAAGAACTCTAAACAAATCACAGCTTCTCCTGCTCCTGGTCACATGTTTATAAATTCTCTCCAAGCTCTTTTTCAGCAAGAGGTACTTATCCCGTAAGGAACTGTGTTACTTTTCCTCTGGTTGTTTGCTTAGATTTCAAGCCTGTGTCTGCTCTCGGCCTTACAGAGAGGCTCACCGCCCTACCGCTCAGCTCCAGTGCTGACTGGTTGAGAAAGAAGTCTAGAGCAGACATGATTTATAAAGAAATCTCATGGTTGCCAAGGGTGAAATGAGGGTTATGGACTTTTCATCACCTCATGAATACTGTAGCCCGAGGGAAGCGTTTAGGGCCATACCCCGCAGAGGAGGAAGGCTGCAGGCGTACAGCACTCACAGACCCAGAGGTACCATGGAATAACGAATCTGGTCAATACACGTTTAGGTTAGGGGCTAGACAGTGGTGCAGGGGTAAACCACAGTGCCTCTGCAAGGCAATTCTAAGTGGAGAGGTTCCTGGTTCGAGTCCAGAAGCCTCCCTAAGTATGCCAGGTGTAGGCTTGCCCGTGATGTGGGGCTGGTGGAAGCCTGGGGGTGGATTGTGGTGTCCAGACCCTGCTGGGAGTCCCATCTCTCTCTTCCTCTCTCACTCATGGGAGAGATCAATAAAAGACTCAGGTTAATTCCATGATGATATTTCAAACAGGGTTTTAAGGGAAGCGAGAGAGCCCAGCCAGTCACTAACTGAACATCGGGTGGGTGCCAGCTGCCAGACTCGGTCTAAGACAGAGTAACGACATTCAGTGTCAGGAAGGCCCCCTCGTCCTGACCTGAGGTGCCCCACCTCAGACGGCGGTTCTGACCTGGTGACATGTCCTTCATGTTCCTGCACCTTCCCCGATGTGGCATGGGGACTGGAGTGTTCTGGGCAGTGGGTGAGAGACAGAAGAGAAGGCGTGCTCTCTGGCCTGGCGTCTTCAGGAGGAATGTTTTACTCTGCTAGTGCAGGCGCGGCGCAGCGTGGTGGGCCTGGGGGGCCTTTCCAGCCACCTGGCGGTGGCCTGCTCCTGAGAGCCTGAGGAGGGCATCTGGTTCTAGAACTGCCTCTCCCTCGCTCTGACAGCAGGTAGGCAGCCGCGAGCTAGCCTCCCCAGCCTCCCTCACAAACGCCACATCTGCCCCTCACTCCCACCGCTCTCCCTGGCAGCCGAAGGGCAGGATGTTCCCTGGCGCCAGGTTGGGGACCCAGAGCATCCTCAGGGAACCGGAGCCCCTGTTTCTAGCTCACGGCTGCACTGCATTCTTCCCTCCGTGGGGACTCAGATCAAGATTCCAGGCTGCTGCGTCCCCGTCTGCTTTGTCCTCAGTGTCCTCCCTCCATTCTACAAAATGAATGCAGGGGAAGGGCAAGAAAGAAGCAGAGGGGAGACCACAGTTCAGTTAACCGAGATCTGGGGCATGAAGAGCTGCGAAAGGGCCTGCTTGGTTCCCACCTTTCCACTAAGGAAGGAGCCGAAACTGCTGGCAGCGACTTCGACCAAGCATTGAAAATCTATTTGGAATGAGCTGGGAGACCCGAGAGCTAAGCGGAAGAACTAGTTGGATGAAGGTTTGGAGATATTTCTGTAACAGTCAAGTCTCGTCACCCTGGTCTGGTGTTTGGGAGAGGACCCGCTGAGGCTCAGGAACCCCCCACAGAACAGGTCCAGTCCTTCCTGGAGCGGTCCCTTTCCGTGGCTGAGGACTGTAACAACCAGTGGGCACTAGGGGGCACCCGTGCCGCAGAGACAGCCTTGGCAGTGCATGCTTTTGCCTTCTAACTGCCCTGGGGTTGCAGGGAGGCCCCAACGCAGCCAGAAGCCTCAGTCCCAGCTGTTTGGCTGATAGCTATACAGACTAGAGCGAATTAGGGATGGGAGCAGGATGGAGTGGGTGTAGGAGTCAGGATGAGGGTGGGAGGAGGTTCAAGACCTGGCTGGTGTGGGAGAAAGTGGGGTCATGTCAAGGTGGAGGCTCTGTTTACTTGGGTCTGGGGAGACTGGGAGGGGAGCTGTCAGGTTACGGGCCTTCATCTCAGGGGGAGGGTCTGGCATAAGGAGGTCGCTGAAGCTGGATGGGAGACCCCTGCTTTGTTCCTTGCTCTCAGTGGCCACTGCAGTGGCAGTGCTTCAGACACAGGAAGAGCACAGGACATATAGGGTGAATGCGCAGGACATATGGGGTGAGGCCGGGTGCAAACAGGGATGGAACTGAGCTGTCAGGGTGAAGTAGAAAGCAAAGCTGCCAAGGTGAGAGGCGGAGTGGTGGGTGGTAAAGGTGAGAGTTCACACAGGCTGGCCTTGAAGTGAGGGCTAATTGGCATGGCCTTTTAGCTGTGACCCATGCTCCACTGCTCCACAGAATGACTGCCCATGACCTCCTGCCCAGTCCCTCTCTGCGCTCACACCCCTCAACCCTCTCAGAGCCCTTTCGCTCTGAGCAGAGAGAGGGCCTACCCAGGCTCCTAGATGCCAAGCATCTGAGCAGCCCAGAGGCCTGTGCTTGGACTCCCACCTGACCCCACTCACTGCCTGGCCGCCTAGCCGCTGCCAACTGTTCTGCTGCTCCACCCCCACCCCTTGGACCGTCCAGCTGGGCCTTGCCTGGGGAGCAGCTTCCTGTTCAGAGGCCCTGGGTGGCCTGGACCCCTCCTGTGGATTTTGGGTGATTTCAACATTTCACTTTGTCTGCTCTTGGCCCATGGGGCAGCAGCAGGGGAGGAGGCTGAAGACCACAAGAGGGCCGCTGGCTGCTGGCCACAGAGAACAGGGCGAGGGCCCGGCTCCTCCTGCCTGTGGACTGTTCCCCAGCACTCCTAGGGACCACACCTCCCAGCCCCCGCCAGCCTCTGATCTTGCTGTCCTCCTGCAGTCCCTCCCCCAGCTCCCTAACCCGCTAGGATCATCATGCTGGTGGGCGTACCCGTGACTGGGATTGGAACCCAGGTCTCCACAGGGCTCCAGTATTGCACAGTGGTGCCCTACTGCCTGCGCTGCCATGGCCCAAAGTAGTCTTAACACCTATTTTATACCTAATTTTTTTTTTTTTTTTGAGAAGTTTTGGCTACAGGGTGAGTGTGCTCACCAGAGAGACCGAGATAGTGAGAAATCAACCCCAGGGAGGATGGCCATGCCACAATCCCTTCTCCTCATTCTCTCCTCAGGATCTTGGGCATGCATGTACACACACCCAGCATGAGTTTTAAGCCGCTGGGTCTAGGACTCAAACCATGGCCGACTACATGGGAGTCCAGAGACATAACCATTATGCTATCTGCTGGTCCCATTTATGCCTAATTTTTAAAACTAAAAAGGGTGAGCACACCTTAACAACAGTCTCCATGCTCATGATGTCCCTGGCTGTATGGTTACTGCAGGATCTGTCCCTTCTCCCTCTCTTTTGATACTTGGTCTTCCACGGTCCACCTCTTTACCTTTATGTTCTCCCTCTTGGGAAGCTCTTTTCCCTTGCTGCCCTCCACCTTCTCCCTTGGCTCCAACCTTTTTCTGTTTTAAATTTGTAACATCTTTTTCCTGGTTTTCACCTGAAACTTTTTGAAATAATATTCTGCACTTTGGTCTCTCTTTTTGTCATTTATTCCTTAACCAAGGCAGCCATTCCGTCTTAGGGAAACTTGATGGGCTTTGACCTCAAAGAGCAACTACCACCAACCCAAGGATAAATCCTGAGCCATCTGTTTCATTCGCATTTGGCATGTGATGCAGTTCACTGCCCTCTCTGCAACTCCTCCCTCCGTCCCTTGTTTCTGTAGGGTAACTATTCCAGCTTCCTCTTGCTTCTCTCCCCTCTCGGTCCTTTCTTCTAGTCCCACAAGTTCTTTCATTATGACATTTATTGGTGGGTCCTCCATGATTGGGTTCTGGTGGCTTTATAAGGAGAGGGAGAGGGGGCCATCTGGTGGCAGCTGGATCCCATGTGGCTGACTACACAGTTCACGTCCTGGGCCCAGCGGCTTAAGAGACATACCAGGTGCATGTGTGTACGAACCCAAAAGGAGGCAGAAATGGAGAAGGGATTATGCCATGGCCATCTGCCAGGGGATGCTTTCTCATTTTCTCTTTCTCTCTCCCTTTCTCTGTCTCTCTCCAGCAAGCACATGTGCCCTCTGGTAAAGTAAAAAAGCAGAAAACAAAACAAAACAGGGAGAGAGACCAGAGCTGAGACACACCTGAAGAACCTGGAAGCAGCCTGATCTTTACCCTCAGTCTAACCAAAGGAGCACAGGCTTCAGGTCAGATAGCTCTGAGTTCAAACTTCAACTCACCATTTACAAGCTCTGTGACCTTGAGCAAGTAGCTTCGCCCCTCTAAACCTCATTTTGTCTATCTGTAAAATGGAGGTAATAACAGTATCTACTTCATTGGGTAAGGATGAAGTGAAGTGTTGTGTGTAAGGAGTTTAACATCGTTAGCACAGAGCAAGTGTACATGTTGGCCGTGATGAGTCGTAACAATAAGCCTCTATGACAACAGAATTTGCGTTCAGTTACTCAAGCCAGAAACTAGGGGTCCTCTTAGCCTTTTCCTACTTTCCCCCTCAATGCTCTATCCAAACTCCCTTTCTCTGTCTCTCTCCAGCAAGCACATGTGCCCTCTGGTAAAGTAAAAAAGCAGAAAACAAAACAAAACAGGGAGAGAGACCAGAGCTGAGACACACCTGAAGAACCTGGAAGCAGCCTGATCTTTACCCTCAGTCTAACCAAAGGAGCACAGGCTTCAGGTCAGATAGCTCTGAGTTCAAACTTCAACTCACCATTTACAAGCTCTGTGACCTTGAGCAAGTAGCTTCGCCCCTCTAAACCTCATTTTGTCTATCTGTAAAATGGAGGTAATAACAGTATCTACTTCATTGGGTAAGGATGAAGTGAAGTGTTGTGTGTAAGGAGTTTAACATCGTTAGCACAGAGCAAGTGTACATGTTGGCCGTGATGAGTCGTAACAATAAGCCTCTATGACAACAGAATTTGCGTTCAGTTACTCAAGCCAGAAACTAGGGGTCCTCTTAGCCTTTTCCTACTTTCCCCCTCAATGCTCTATCCAAAAAGTCATTGGGAGTGGTCAACTCTACTTTCTGAGGCCTTACCCTCCCTCTCTTGGACTGTCTTCACAGAGGCCCATCTGGTATCTGGCCGACTCCATCTCCTTCCCTCTAATCTGTCCTCCACTCTAGGGCTGCTCCAACTTTCCCAAACATAGGCCTCCCCTAAGAAGCGATTCATGTTAAAATGGGGACCGGGGAGATTTGCAGGCTGAGAGTGTACTTTTCTAACAAGCTCCCAGGATGGCGAGGCTGCTGGTTCACACCCATGCTTTGAACAGCAAAGTTCTTGCTCTGGTTCTCCTCCTAAATAACAGATGTGATCCTCTCAATCCCCTGCCCAAAAAACTCTGATGCAGTTCACAGGGTTACCTAAAGTGCCCTTTTATTCTTCTTCCTGTTCTATGTCACACAAGATATGCACTGGCTGAGGCGAGCGTCTCAAATGCCGTGTGTTTCCATTACTTCATACCTTTGCTTATGCTGTTTCCTCTGCATGAAATGCCTTTCCTTATCTTCTCTGCCTCTTGGAATCCTATTCCTTTTTCTGGGACTCAGCCTAAGCGTCCCCTCCTCTAGGAAGCCTTCCTCAGCCTCTATGGCAAGATTCTTCATGTATTCTACTATGCCTTCTTGGTTCTTTGTCTATACCACTGTAACAGGGTACCTCCCATCTCATTATTGTGAGCCGTGCACAAATTTGCCCCCAGACTCTAGGCTCCTCACCTTATCTTTTTGTCCCAAGTATAGATATTGGGACAAAAAGTAGGCATTCTTACTGAGTTGGGGTAGAGGGCAGCTTAGAGAATTAAGGTGGACCTGAGCTCCTGCTTTCTGTGCTCCTAATGAATACATCATCACCCCTGGTGGCAGTATACCGAAATTACAGGTTCAGTGTTTTTGAAATGTCATAGTTACTTTTTTTTTAAAGTACGGATCGACATCATAACTTTGAAAATCTCTTGATTTTCAAGGCCCTGCCAGTTATCACTAATATTTTTTCAGAACCCTTCACAGTCAGCTTGTCCCATACACAAGGTCAGTTATGTACATTTATCTCAAGCCTGTGATGAAGTGAAGGCAGCCTACCCTCAGGTTTCTCTCCCACCGCGGTGAGTTCAGACTCCTGGCTCGGCTCACTGGTTCCATACACATTGACTGCGCGGACTCGGAATTTATACTCGCGGTCAGGAAGCAGGTTCTGGACGTGAAAAGAGGTGCTGCGGCATGTGGCTAGTTCCTTCCACATCGTGTCCACCGAGTCCCAGATCTCAACACTGTAGGACTGCACGGCACTGCCCCCATCATATGAGGAGCCGTACCAGGACAGGGTCAGCGAGGAGCTCCGGATGTCAGAGGCACAAGGCGTGCCAGCAGGGGGGTCTGGTTTATCTGGGGATGAAGAAACACAACATCACTCAAACTCTCCAGAACAGTGGGGAAAGAAGGACTTTAATCAGCTCTGTAATGGGGGAGAAGCACCGTAGACAACCCAAGCTGAGGACCCTGCTTCTGGCTCTCTTTCCTCATCCATACATCAGTCACAGCTGTGTACAAACCCACTGCAATGGTTAGAATGTCCCCCCAGCTTTCATGTTTATATCAGGATTAAGAGGATGAAAACCTGGGCCCAGCAAATGGCATAGTGGTTATTCACTGGATTCCCACATGGTTGACTGCAGTTTGAATCCAGACCACAGTTTGAGTCCAGATCCCATGGCTTGAAAATCACTGTGTGTGTGTGTGTGTGTGTGTGTGTGTGTGTGTGTGTGCCCAAGACCCTGGGAGAATGGAGGAGAAGTGATTGTGGCATGGCCATCCCCTCCGATCCCGCGGGGGTGATTTCAGTTTTCCTCTCACTGTCTCTGTCTCTCTCTGGCAAGCGCATGCACATTAAGGCAAAAACCTCTCAAAAAAAGAAAGAAAGAAAGAAAGAAAGAAAGAAAGAAAGAAAGAAAGAAAGAAAGAAAGAAAGAAAAGAAAAGAAAGAGAGAGGGTGAAAATTTAATCCAACTAGAGTGTGGGATGGGACTTTGGGGAAGAATGAGGGTTCAAGTCATAAGGGCAGGTCCTCTGTGATTGAAGTTTGGTGGGTTTACAAGGAGAGGGGACAGAGGTACAAGGACAGACATGCTGGCCTCTGGTTTCCACATGCTACCTCCCCAGAAGTGGTTTCTGGACCTCGGACCTCCAAACTGCAAGCTGAATAAACATCTATTCTTACAAATCACTCGGTTTCTGGTATTTTCTGTTATGGGCAACAGAGTGAACACCCACCTGTACAGAAAACCCTACACATAACTGTTTGCTCAAACAAAACAAAACATACACACAAAACAAAACGAACCTTTTTTTTTTTTTTTTTTTTGGCTATTTTTCCAGTCTACAAGTCATGATTTCCTGTACTTTGCCCATGTCATAAACATATTTCTCAGAGTAAACAGATCTAGGAAGCTGCCCAAAAGGAGTGGACTGTTTCCCATCAAAATCTGTTTTGAGAGAGAATTCAGAATTTGAGAGTGTGAGTATATGTGTGTATGTGTGTGTGTGTGTGTGTGTGTTCTTTGGGCCTTTGGCCAGTGACCTGTGACATAATTAGGGGTCTGCCTCCACTTTTTCTGCCCCTGAGAGACACTGAAGCCTGGTGGTTGAACTCTGCAGTCAGCTCCAGTTTGGGGTACAGATCTGTCCCCACTCAGTAGCTGTTAACTGCTCTGTCCCCAGTTTCCTTGTCTGTAAAACATGGGTAATAGCAGCACTTCGATTATCGAGAAGTTCTTTAAAAAGGGGCTGACTTGACCCGTTACTATACCTTCATTAGTGCAGGAGTTTACCTTTATAATACATAGTGATTTCTTTTCACCCTACCACATTGTCGTAAAATAGCAATAGCAAATCACAGCCATCTTTGACTAAGGGACAAAAATGAGCAGAGGACACAAGAAGTGGCTCTTTGGCGGGCTGCCTTCCTTCACATGTCCTGGACCCGGGAGCAGTAACAGTGGAACTTCCAGTCAAACCATGGAAGCCAAAGCTTTAATGAGGTTCTTGCATTTTGTGGATTTTGTTACTTGCTTAGCTGAATAAAACCCTCTTATTTTTCAGATTTCATTTCTGCAGATGGTGGGTTAGTGACAGATACCTGTGTTCAGTAATCCCTTATGCTCCCTAGTGGGGTTGGAGTTCACAGAGCCTTACAAACCAGCAATTAAAATTGTGCTTTTAAGCTATGCGAAGTCCAGTGAATGAAAGACCAGAATGGCTCTTTCTCATTTGGAAAACGGTGCTAACGCATACCACCTTTGAGGGTTTTTGCAAGCATCAAGTCAGCAAATACTGACAGGTCAAAGTGCTCCTCTCCTACTCTCCCACCCCCAGCAAGACAGAAAGGTCAAAAGTCAAATGGTCCTGTGCATATGGGAAAGGAAAAAATCTGTGCATACATGTGTGTGCACACAGGTGTACATACACATATACCTATCTGTTCTCCCCTGCACCTGGGCCCCGCTTCTTCTCCATGCAGCCCAGATGGCAGCACCTGGAAAATGTCCATCCCCGAGAGAGGGTCTAGGTTTGTGATAGCCACTGCCTGGCCTGGCAGTCTTCTCGGAGGCCTCCTGTGGGCAGCCACTTTCACTGGCTGTTTAGTATGTTCTCTTAGAAAAACTGTTTGTTCTGAAAGATACACTGGTCTTTTCAGAAACATTACTAGTATTGGCTAAGATGTTTGTAACTCGAAACTCTCAAGCCCCCTTAAGACTCAGCTAAAGAAGTAAAAAATCCTAAAGAGGAATGAAAGAAAAGTTCCCTGTTCTCCTCCACCCCCGAGGAGATGGTGGCTGGGCAAGTTTAGTCACGGACAGCTTGTTCTGTGAGTACAGATACACGCCACGCTGACTCTGCCCCTCTGCTTGGTCAAAGAAAACTCTGAGAAATGGGTATTGCAGAGGAGGTACCTCTGGGTGTTACAGAGGTCTTGGCTGAAAGCGAGGACTTCCTATGAGGTGTGACAACTCCTATACCATGACAGCAGACACACAGTTGGGGGAAGGGGACTTTAGTCTCAAGCAAAATACTCCCAAGGAATTGGAGACCAAATTACAGAGTTGGTCAAAGGCCCGGGTCTGAAGCCCTGTGAGATTGGAAGCCCTGTCCCTTTGCCTGTCCTTGGAGCCACTGGCTGAGCCCAAGGTCTCCTCTCTTTCCCACCTGCAGAGCCCACCTCTGATTAGGAAAACCCTCGGAACAGCATGTTTTCAGGAGCCTTTCTGGACACCAAAGACACAGGACACTCAGTGGGATCTGCTTCCCAGGGACATATTTCACACTGGACACCGCCTGGCAGAGGAGCCGCTGGCTCAGTGTCGGGGCCCAGAGTTCTACACTTCCTTGGAATTCTCCCAGGGCTCCCTGGAGACTTGTCTAACAGAATGGGAAATGCTGAGTCTAAGGGAAGGGTCTCCGATGGCATGAACTCCAGGATTTTCTGCTCTGCAAATGCTCTCATTCCTGGGAAAACAGAGGATCTCATCTCTAAGCTTCCCATTAGAGTAACCGCCCTCGCAGTTGGTCTCCTTGAACTTGCATGTTTGAAGATGGCTGTGGCCGTGCCCGGCCCTGCCTGCACATCCGTCCATCGGCACTTCAGTGGCAGTCATCCACCTGCATCATCCTAGCCCGGGAAGTGAGCCTTCAGAGGCTATGCACTGTGCTTACCCAAGAAAACCCAACCAGTCAGTGGTAGAGCCAAAAGGAGGTTCCAAAACTCTCCAGCCCTCGGTCCAGGGCTTGGTACTTTCCAGGCTATCAGGCAGAAGGAGATCAGAATGCATCTTGCTCGAGGGCAAGCCTCAAGAAGGAAAATCTCTCGCTTTTAAAAGTCATGCAAGCGTGGGCCCAACAGGTAACATGGTGGTTAAGGTGCTGGACTTTCACATGGCTGACAGTGGTTCAAGTCCTGGACCTGGCAACTTGAAACCCACACTGGACACACGTGCATGCGTGTCCAAAATCCCCAGAGAAGAATGCAGGAGAAGGGGTTGGGGCATGGGCATCTCCCTGGAGGTGAGTTCTCACTCTCTCTCTCTCTGTCTCTCCAGCAAGTGCACACATCCTATAGCAGTCATCTCTCTCTCGGAAAAAAAAAAAAAAAAGTCATGCAAGTTCCAAACTCAGCTAGTATTGGGGGATTATGGGTATTGGGTTTTTTCCTCCTTAGAGCCAGGCAGAGAGCCCTGTTCTTGTGGTCTGGGTGAATGACATACGTGATCCTGCTGGGCCTGCTGCTCTCTCCCCCCTGCAGAGCCCTCCCCCACTCCCTTCAGATGCAAGCGCAGGAAGAAGCTCTAATTACAAATTCCTTTGCCTCCTTAAAAATATAATAATAACAAGCCTCTAAAATAGTTAAACATCACTCGTTTAGACCACCTGAGAGAATGCTGGGAGTCCTAGACTCTCTGAAGAGAACGTGGTCTTTCAAGAATATATAAGAGAGGTCTGCTGCTAACCAATAGGAGTTGTGTGAAGCTGGGCTTCTGTAGCCGGTCTGTAAACAAATGCTTCGAAAGTACTTGAAAACTGTCCTGAGTAGGTTGAACAATGCCTGCTGTACCACTGACATTTCATATACTTCATAAACCCTGGAAGATAACTCGCAGATGCCCCTGGAGATGCACAGGTCAATGGGAGCTTAATCCAGGTTTACCTTGGACTAATTCTAAATTCGCGGGCTCTGAATGAAGGCTGTATCCATCAATGCGAGTTCTCACTTTATTGAGCAATGCTATTCTTAGCCCTGCGAGGGGGAGGCAGACAGAAAGCCCGGTCCTCCTCCATTCCATTCTCCTCCCAGGACGGCATCTGACATGCTGCTCCTGCCAGCTGGCGGGCGGCCACGCCAATGGCCCTGTCAGCACTGGCCATGCAGAATAAGAAACTAAACCATAAAAGGCCAGAACTGCGGCCCGGGCAGTGGTGCTGGGGGAGGGGCATGTGTGGCACCACACAGAGCCAGCCCGCGTCGGGGCACCGCTACAGAAAAGCAGCTCTAAGGAGCTGACCCCAAAGCTACCCCAGCAGGCCAGATGAGCGAGAACACCAGGAAAAGTAGACATTGACGCTTGCTGATAGGACAGGGGCCCAGGTCTAAATCCACAGGGAAACTGGATCACCAGCACCAATCCCCGAAGCTCCCAACTCCTGTGGTGGATGATAGAAAGAAACGCCTGGAGTCACCAGAGAGAGCAGGAGTGAGAAAGGGTCCCTCTTCCCCTTCAGAGATGGAAAGCCCATTCCCGGAGCCCTCGGTACCACAGCGTTCCCAGATCTCAAACTCCAGACCTGAGGAAACAGAAGGGCTCAGGTGAGACCAGGGAGATGGAATTGAACTACAGACGTGAGAAACAGATGGAGCAGAGCGGGGTGAAGAAAAGAAGGGAGGGTGGACGGCGGCAGAACAATGCAATGGCACACTCCTTGAGGCTGGGCCTGCACAGGAAGGTCCTGGGTTTGCATCCCGAGGCCTCCCTGCACACGCTGGGCAAAGTGCGTCCCCACGCCTGGATCATGGCATGGAGCCCCCATTGGCAGTGCCTGTCTGCCAACTTCATCTCCCTTGGAAGAAATAAACTTTTTTCTTTTTTTTGGAGAAGTTTTTTCGCTATAGGGCGCGTGCACTCGCCAGACAGACAGGGAGAGACAGAGAGACAGAAAGCGAGAAATCACCCCCCAGAGGGGATGGTCATGCCGCAATCCCTTCTCCTCCATTCTCCTCTCAGGATCTTGGGCACGCACGCACACGTGCCCGGCGTGAGTTTTAAGCTACCGGGTCTGGGACGTGAACTGCAGTCAACTACGTGGGAGTCCAGCGACATAGCCATTACGCTAACTGCTGGTTCCCAGAAAGAAATAAACTTTTTAAAGAGGAAGACAATGACATAGGGGAGAGGAGCAGGGCAAGAGGGAGGGCAGGCAGAGAGAAACGTGGACCTCTGAGGGGAGGAAGTGGGTGCTGCAGCTCAGTGCTGTGACCCCCTGTCCCAGGTCCCCTGTGCCCAGTACCAGTCCTCCCGGGGTCCTGCAGTACTTCCTGTGCAGGGGCTCAGGCTGGGGCCTGGACCTGTGGTCTGTCGGTAGCTGGTGTGGGCACAGTTTGTTGACCACTTCCTTGTGGTCCCACCTCTGCTTCGCCGTGTCTTGCTCTCTTACCTTCCCTAGTCACCCAGATGGACAAGGACTTTCTCGTCCCCAGCTGCTCAGGGGCTGAGGGAGATGCTGCAGGGCTTCCCAAGGCTCAGTGTGAGAAACACGTGGGGACCAATAGCAACAGCTCCCAGCAGGTGGACAGGTCGCCCTCTTGTCACTCTCAGGACGAACGTTCCTGCTGCAGGACTCCTTTACCTTCTGTAATATTGTGCCCCACTTCACGCTCCCATGAGTGGCGTCAGGAGGACAGTGTCTGAGAGCCGGGGAGCTGGCTCCCACTTGGCCCTGATGCACTGTCACTGTGCTTGTTACGCCAGCCCCAGGCTCCCCCTTGGTTAGGCTGGAAGTATCAGTCCTGCCCAGCCTAGTCCTGTGTCGGGGTACGAGACAAAGAGGAGGAGGAAATATACTTGGGCACAAAGTCAGGGGATCGAAGGACGGCAGGGCTACCAGAGCCCTTACGTGACACTTTCTCCAACTTCAATTTCATGTCTAGATACCTCCGCAAGAGATTCCAGGGGCTCTCTAACGTTGGTAGCCACAGGAGTCCTGTTACTAGCAGACCCTTTCACTCCGTGTGCCCACGTATTGCATCAGGGACACACTGGGGAAAGCCTAGGAGTCGGTCAGGACCCGCACACGGCTGAGAGTTTTCTTTTTATCTAGAGAATTATTTGTTTAATTTTATTTATTCATTTATGTTTATTTAATTTGACCACACACACACACACACAGCGGGGAAGCGAGACTGTAAGCCATCAGGTCCAGGACTCCAACCATGGTAGATCATGTGGGAGTGTCCAGCACCTTAACCACTATGCCAAACCACTGCACCCCCAAGGCCATTTTGTAAGCCCTGGGGTGAGGTTGCAGTACGGCCTTTTCTCTCTGCCCAGAGGAGCCCCTTTCTGTAATTTTCCCAAAGGTACCTCTAGGCTTGAAAGCTGAGAACAAATGGAAAACCCCTCAGGACTCATGTCTGTGTCCATAAACTCTCGCTCATGCTTTCATGTGCACAGCACAGGAGGCCCCCAGACCACAGGCGAGCACGGGTTACTTGTCTGTGTGCTCCTTCATCTGCATCCTCCTCTGCTGTCCTGAGCGCCTGCACCAGGGAACAACTGCAGCTGAGCGTGCCGACGGCGGGGCGCCAGTTAGAAAGCTGCTTTGATGTTGCAGGAAAGAGCAGACCAGGGCATGAAAACAGTGATTGATTAGGAAGGAAGAGAAAGTGAACTTGAGACACAGTCCAAAGACAGACGCAGCTCACTACTGGAATGTAGGCAAGAGAAAAGGGTGTGGAGTTAGGATTTGGTGGTCCCGGCGACCTCAGAAGTGTGAAACTTGAAGTCTAGTGGGGTGTGGGGGTGAGGCTGCAGGGAGCTGAGGAGTGCCAGGTTGTGGGGAGGAGTGAAGAAGCAGAATTGGAGCAAGGCTCTCTGATGATAACCTGATAACAGCAGAGGACTTGGCTGTGGAGAGAGGGTGCTGGGAAGACGGAGGGTTGACCAAGAAGACTTAGGTAGATCATGTGGGAGTGTCCAGCACCTTAACCACTATGCCAAACCACTGCACCCCCAAGGCCATTTTGTAAGCCCTGGGGTGAGGTTGCAGTACGGCCTTTTCTCTCTGCCCAGAGGAGCCCCTTTCTGTAATTTTCCCAAAGGTACCTCTAGGCTTGAAAGCTGAGAACAAATGGAAAACCCCTCAGGACTCATGTCTGTGTCCATAAACTCTCGCTCATGCTTTCATGTGCACAGCACAGGAGGCCCCCAGACCACAGGCGAGCACGGGTTACTTGTCTGTGTGCTCCTTCATCTGCATCCTCCTCTGCTGTCCTGAGCGCCTGCACCAGGGAACAACTGCAGCTGAGCGTGCCGACGGCGGGGCGCCAGTTAGAAAGCTGCTTTGATGTTGCAGGAAAGAGCAGACCAGGGCATGAAAACAGTGATTGATTAGGAAGGAAGAGAAAGTGAACTTGAGACACAGTCCAAAGACAGACGCAGCTCACTACTGGAATGTAGGCAAGAGAAAAGGGTGTGGAGTTAGGATTTGGTGGTCCCGGCGACCTCAGAAGTGTGAAACTTGAAGTCTAGTGGGGTGTGGGGGTGAGGCTGCAGGGAGCTGAGGAGTGCCAGGTTGTGGGGAGGAGTGAAGAAGCAGAATTGGAGCAAGGCTCTCTGATGATAACCTGATAACAGCAGAGGACTTGGCTGTGGAGAGAGGGTGCTGGGAAGACGGAGGGTTGACCAAGAAGACTTAGGCCGCTGGGAGGAGCCAATAGAGAAGAAGAAGTTGAAGAGAAGTGAAAAGACGGGGTGGTGGAGCCCCCAAGAGCCTGGGGCCCAGAGCACAGGCGAGGGAAGCAGCTTTGGACGGGACAGAGGTGGGCCATCCTGAGTGAGGAGTCAGGATGGAGACAGAAGCGGGCACTGCGTAGGGCCCAAGAGGCTGAGCGAGTTTGCATCTCTCATTTCTCAAGGAAGTCAGAGGCCAAAGCCCAGGGTGGGGAACTTAAGCACCAGCTATCACAGAGGATGGGAAAGGGCACTGACCAGAGGAGAGGAAAAGGCTTTCTGAACAGCATTGACTCCTCACCGAGGCCTAGAGGGCGGCAGAGTCTAGCAATGACCCGGCAGCTTGATGTGATCTTCCCTTTGCAGGGTCCCACATCCCATCTCAGGCCTGAGCAGTGAGGCTGGAAGGTAGCACTGACTCAGGGTGAAGATTTGCAGGAAGAGTCGGGGAGGTGGTGAACACAGGGGAGAGGGAGTAAATCTACAAGCATGAGACGGCCTGGCGTAGTGGTGCCCAGTGTCTCCAGTGGAAAGAAAGAAGCTGGGATGGGACTCAGGAAGAGCCAAGTGCTGGGGGCGAGGGGTGCAGGGTTCTCAATGAGCTTGAAGAACAGGAGTGGTGTGAAACACGGGACAGGAAAAGCTGGAAGCACAGAGGCCATGGCAGAAAACAGGTGCTGAAAGAGGAGCAGGAGCCCAGGGGAATCCTGAGGTTCATGCATCCTGTCCCAGGCGGGGTGTCCTACTTCCGCAGCCCCCGGGCCCCAGACTCACCCACGACGGTGAGGTTGACCTGGGCCTGCCTGCTGCCCAGCTTGTTCTCCACCAGCAGCGTGTAGCAGCCGCAGTGTTCCTGGCGTGCAGCCAGAATGGTGAGCTTGCTGCCGTTCTCGCTGTTCTCCACCTTGATGTGCTCGCTGTCCTGGATCTGGGGGGACAGTGCGGCAGGCATGGGAGACTTGGCAGGGAAAGACAGGGCCCCTCCTCCACGTCCTACTCCCTGAGGGACGGAGCTGGAGGAGTTGTGGGGGCTTGGTCTTGTCTGGACTCCAAGCGTCCCCCAAGGCCCCTCCTCTCCTGCACCTAGAACCAGGCATCCCCGAGGTGTCCAGCTCTGGGGTAGGCAGGGTTAGATGATCTATGGCTTCCAGAACACAGTTCAGGAGCATCCCAGTCTCCCTCAACTGTTCTGGGAAGGGATGTTAGGAGGACACATCTGGGCAGTCATTCACGAAGCCCATCCAGAAAGTTCTGACCTCCGCTGTGCTGTCCAGTGCAGGAGCCACTAGCTACACGTGGCCATCAATTATGCATTGGAACTGAGTGGACATGTCCATCAGCTGATGAACAGATAAGCACGTGGTATATCTGGACAATGGAAGTCACTCAGTCATGACAAGGAAGGAAGTGTTGATCCATGCTACAGCGTGGGTCAGGATGAGCCCTGAGAACATCATACTCAGTGTCAAAAAGCTCAACATGACAGACAACACACTACAGATTCCATTTATATAAATGTCCAGAATAGGCAAAGATTCCATAGAGAGAAAGCAGGTTGTCAGAGGGCCTGGGTTTCTTTCTGAGGTGATGAAAATATTCTGGAATTAGTTAATGATGATACTTGCACAACCTTGTGACTATATCAAAAATCACTAAACTGTACACTTTAAAAGGATTAATTGTATGATACATGAAGTATAGTGTGACAAAGCTATTAAATTACATTTTTTTTTTTTAAGTTTTGCTGTAGGTTGCATGTGCTCATCAGAGAGAGAAGGGAGGGTGGAATAAGAAAGCATCCCCTGGGAGGATGGCCACACCAACCTCCCTCTGCCTCCACTCTCCTCTCAGGATTTGGGGCACACATGTGCATGTGCCTGGCATGTTTGCCACTAGGTCTGGGACTTGAACTGCACAGTCAGTCATGTGGGATCCTGCTGCCTTTTAACCACTATGCCACTGCCTGGCCCTAACAATTCTTTATTTTTTTTTTTTAAGTTTACTTATTTATTTCTTCTTTTTTTATGCCAAGAGAGAGAGAGAGAGAGAAAACACCCTTAACAGGATTTTTTTCATGCCACAATTTACCCCCAGCTTCAGCAGCCTGAATCAGGCACTAGTGCTTGTACACCCAAGCATGTAGAGTGAGGCCCAGGATATGAACCGGGGACCCTCTCATGTGGGTTCAGCTGTGTAACTACTGCACCACCATCTGACCCTACTCAAGGTTATTCATGGTAGATGAGGACTTACTCCTGTGATTTTGTTCATTTTTTTTATGGTATTCTTTTTTTAATTTTTTAAAATTATTATTCACACTTTAAATCACTATACATCATTTAGATTGTAAAGAGACTTTAGCCCTAACAGTTTTAAAACTTGTTAAGAAAATAGATTTTATTAATTAAAATGAAAATTCAGTTTCTCAGTTGCACTAGCCACACTTCAAGTGTTCGGCAGTTACATATGTACGGTTGGTGGTTACTGAGTGGACAACACAGATGGTTCCATCATCCCAGACAGTTCTGATGGACAGAGCTGGAACTTGTTTAGATGTCTCTGAAAAGGGGTGAGAGCCCATCTTTTCTTTGTTTGTTCATTTTAAGTTTTTGCCACAGGGTGCATACACTTCTCACAGAGATACAGGGAGAGGGAAAATGAGAAGTCACCCTCCATTCATCCCTCAGGATTCTGGGCATACATACATGGGCCCAGCATGATTTTCAAACCTCCAGGTCTGGGACTCCAAGACACGGGTCATGTTTAAGCACTCTAAGACCTTAACCACCGTGCCACCTGCTGGCCCCAATTCCATCTGATCTCACACAACAGTTGTCCAAACATATTTAATCATCCCAACAGTTCAGGGCAAACATACTTTGGAAAGCTAAAGGCCAATGTCTCTTCTCCATCATTTGAGACCAGCCCTTTTTTCCTTCCTGGTACTAGCTGCTCATCCCTGGGCCGAGGACAATTTGAATGTTTTGGAAACAGACAAACAGAGGGCTCAGAATATATCTTTGCACCTTCTGCAGAGTTCCTGGTTCAGTGCCTACCCACTATTTGCATAAGGGTGTTGTGAAATTGCCAGACTTCCTAAGTTCCTTTAAAAGCTGCTTGTTGGAAATTCAAACATTTCCCATAGGAACCAGTACTATAAATCATAGCTAGATTTCTGGGCCAGTAGGCTAAAATTGTACTTAACATATAACCTATCTATTCAAATATTCAGATTCACTTTCTTTTTTTTCCAAAATTATTTACTTCATTTAAAATTTATCACTATTATTATTATTTAATTTGCTAAAAGATACATGGTCACCAGAGAGAGACAGTGAGAGAAAGAGAGGGAAAGTGAGAAAGAAGCCGCCAGGTCCAGGGACTCGAACCATGGTCAGCCATGTCAGCGTCCAACACATTAACTACCATGCCACCTGCTGGTCCCCAGACTCTTAACACTTAAACATGTGTTAAGTTTAAGCTGTTAAAATAGATAGAAACCAGTAGGCTGGCACAGACCCACAGAAAGCCCAGAGAGTCTGAGAAGTCTCAGGTCATCAGTTCAATTTTCCTGGCTCTCAGCAGGATTTTAGATGGAGACGTCAAAATTAGATGGGACCATGGTGGTTTCTATTTTTGACCTTTCCACTTTCCTCTGTTATACAGTGGTCTATAAAGCAGGGCTTACTGCAATTCAGAAGAGAAGGTGAGTAAGAACTCAGATTTAGTGGCGAGGTGATGGTGGGCGAGGGGTCTCACTTCCTAAGCGATTCAGGTGATGCTATCTCCACCACAGCGTTTCTTAGCCCTGTTGGCCCAGGTCTGTACAGCTTATTCTCGGGCCCCCTTCTGTTACTGACCTGCTTTCGGAACTTCATCCAGGTACAGGTGATGGGCTGGGTGCCTGCCACTTTACCAAACAGCTCCACCGACTCGCCTGCGCGCACCTTCTGGTCTTCAGGAAACTGGATGATCTGAGGGGGCATGGCTAAGAGAGGACAGGTGGGAACGTGAGCCAGGAGGAGGGAGCCTCAGACGTTCTCATCTCAGCTGACACTGCCGTCCTTGTTGGTCTGTGGGCTCCTTTCCAGGCTTCTGGAACTTTCAGGGTAAGCCTGAGGGCAGTGACCCCCGCTCCAGCACATTTGAGCTCATGGACCTGCTGGGTCTGTTCACCTCTTTATTCTGATTTCCCAGAAATGACCCATGCAACTTACATAGCACAGTTCTCCACTTGTTAGTTTTCTGGGATTTGTACCTCATCCTAATTTCTGGACTCAGTATCCTAACTCCTTTATTAATCAAACTGTGCCTCGTCTTCAGCCTCCAAGGCACCGGCTGACAGGCTCAGAGTTTCATGTCCTCATGTGTCTTCTAGTAGAAGTAGACAAGGGCTTCATACACAGATACAGAGCGAAGCCCCCAAACAGCACAAAGTGGCTCTTCTACAGACCGGGCAGAACAGGGGTCATAGAGGGAGGAGGGGGCAGAATCCCGCAAAAGGATGGGGAAGTGCTAGCTCTCTGAGATGCTGTCCTCATGGGAGGAAGCAGAGGAAAAGTCAAAGTAGTGGATGAGGGTGAGAGACGAGGCTGTGCAGACTCGGTCCCAGAGTGAATTTGGACTAAATGATGCAGAGCTTGACTCGGGGGGTGTCTCCTGGGATCGGACACCTGGTGCTAAGTCTAGCAGGGTAAAGGAAAAAGCCTTCATGGCAGACGACTCCCACGTCCCTGATGTAGCTATGGCCGCTTACCTGCCTTCGGAGGTGTCTTGGGGGTAGGTTTCTTTTTCACAGTTGCATCACCTGAAATGAAGAAGTTCCCAAGTTATTTTTTGTCAGTTCTGTTTTTGTTTTTGTTTTTCCCACAAAGCTCATGATCCTAGGAGGATACAGTCTTGCCCACTGACCCTTTATCCAGGGAGAGCCCTCATTTAAATATGTCTTTCCAGAAATTTCCTTGCCATCTCATGAAGACAATCCCACGATCAAATGAGTATCAGTTCTCGGGGGCCTGTGCAGGGGTCTCTGGAACTTATAATGAGGTAAAAACTGTCAAAAACGCTTAAGCCTCCACAGCCCTATTGATGATAACCCTAAACTCACTAATTACTCTCTCACCCTAACTTTCAGGAAACCCAGAAAGGAATTTATGTCAGATAAACCAACTAAAATTAAGCTCTGGTGTGAATCCAAGGGTCCCAGGCTTCCTTTGAGTCACAGACTGTGGACTGGTCATTTTTTGCTTTAATGTTTGTTGAATAAATGAATGAATGAGTAAACCAACCAATGGTTTCCTCCCTTCCTATCCCTAACTGTGCCAAATAATTCAAATAAGAAAATAATGACCCAAACAGAAAAAGTTTGCAGCACAAGCCTATTCACTTGGCTAAACATCAATATGGTGCAAATGCAAAAATCTCCTCAACTCTCTTCATGGCTTATCTTAGTATTTCCTTCAGGTCTTTGGTCAAAAGTCATCTAGCCTATTTATCCAAGTAGAATGAGAACCTATGTGCACACAAACACCTATATGCAAATGTTCATGGTGGCTGTATTTGTACTTGCCCATAATTAGAAGGTATCCAAATGTCCCTCAACTGGTAAATGGATGAACTGTAGCACATTCATACGTGAAATGCTATGTAACAGTGTAAAGGAACCGATTTCTGATATACACAACAAGGATGAGTCTCAATGATTCATCTTTCTTTTCTGCTAAGTCACACTAAAAAGGCTACATATCGTGTAATTCTATTTCGACAATATTCTAGGAAAGGCAAACTACAGGGTGCAGAGAGCAGACTGGTGGATTGCCAGATGTGGGCTTGGGAAAACAGTCACGGTGAAGTGCCCTGAGGTGATGGAACCCGATCTTAACTGTGGCAGCAGTTATGTGACCCTAGGAGTTAATTAAGACTCACAAAACTGTGCACCAGAAAGCGTGAAGTTTATGATGGGGAAATTATATCTTAGTGCAAACATGGAAAAAGTCACTTCACCAATGATATCTCGCCCAACTACCCCATATCAAATAGCAGCCCCCGCCTCCAGTGCTCCTTCTCATCCGTAGCCCACTTCGTCATGACTTATTATCCCCTACCCGCATGGCACCATGTGACAAACATGTATTTACTTGTTTATTTACTCTCTGGCCATCCTGTTCCTGTAAACTATAAGCTTTTTAAGGGCAGGGACTTTTTTGTTATTCCTTGCTGTATACCTACTGTGCCTGGTACGTAGTGGGCACTCAGTGACAGTTTGTAAAGTGAATGATTGGATTAATATTAACAAGTATCCCTTCCCATAGCTCCACCTTTGCAGATCCCAGCAAAGCAACACCACACCCTGGCTTGGATGTGGAGAGGCTCTCTGACCACAGGTAGGCTAGCTAACTTGTGGACTATCAGTGTGCATTTCTAAGTGGGAGCAGTGCTGCTACCCTGTGGAATGCCCCAAGAGCACTACTGTAAGGAGGTGATCCCTGAAAGGAGCACCATGGGATCTCAGAGCGGAAGACTCCTAGCTATGTCGTTAAGTCGAGGGCAAGGCCTACTTCTACCAAGTCACTCTGGCTCACTGCTATTATTGACCCACCTGTCCATCACCCAAGATTCACTGAGGGTCCACTATGTGCCAGGCAAATGCCGATGAGGATAAAACCAAACCAATCCAGGAAATCAGGGCTTATCTCTGAGGCCTGAAATGTCAAGGTGTACGTTCCACAGCAAAGGCTCTCTCCTGCCCCTCAATAAGACATTTCTAGGACAACTGGCAACATTTGAATATGGTCAATAAATTAGATGATAGTATATCACCATCAAACTGTGGTGCTATGGTTTAAGTGTCGTGTCAAAATTCATGTTGAAACTTAATCCCTATTGTGGTGGTATTTTTAAAAATTATTTATTTAATTTTTATTTATTCATTTTGTTTAATTTTGGCCAGAGAGCGACACACACACACACACAGAAAGAAAGAGAGAGAGAGAGAGAGAGAGGGAGAGAGAGAGAGAGAGAGAGAGAGAGAGAAAGAGAGAGAGAGAGAAAGAAAGTGAGAAAGCAAGCACCAGGTCTGGAACTTGAACCACAGTCAGCCACGTGGGAGTGTCCAGTGCCTTAACTACCACACCACCTGCTGGTCCCCATTGTGGTGGTATTAGGAGGTAAGGTAGGGGCCAGCAAGTGGCATGGTGGTTTAGATTCCCACATGGCTGACTGTAGTTTGAGTCCCAGACCTGGAGGTTTAAAAATCACACTGGGCGCACGTGCATGCATGCCCAAAATCCTAGGAAGAGAATGGAGAAGAGATTGTGATGTGGCCATCTCACCCAGGGTGTGATTTCTCACTTCTCTTCTCTCCGTCTCTGTCTCTCTCCTACAAGTACGCATGCCCTATGGCAAAAACATACAAAAAGGAAAAAAAGAGGTGGGGTGGTCTTTGGGGAAGTGATTAAGTCATGATAGCTCTGCTTTCGAGAAGGGAAGAATGAAGCCCTCAAAGGAAGAAGAGTGGGCTCAGAGAAGGATCTAACTTACTCTGGAGAAAGAAGTCCAACTGCTCAGAGGAGGTATGTGGACAGCTGCAGATATGGACTAAATTGTGTTCCCCCAAATTCCTATTTTTAGTGCCTCAGACCAGGCACTAACCTGGTATGATTGGTGTTCTTATATTAAAAAAAGGAGATCAGGGGTCACACACACTCACACACAGGGAGGGAGGGAGAGGAGACAGATACCAGACAAGTACACACACACAGAGGGAAGGCCCAGGTAGAAGAAGATGGACATTTACAAGGGAGAAGACCCTGATCTTGGACTTCCAGCCTCCAGAACTGTGAAAAAATAAACTTCTGTTGGTCAAGTCACCCAGCCTGTGTTACTTTGTTATGGCGGCCCTCGCAGACTAACAGAGCCGTGGACGGGCTCCAGGAAGCGATTTGTCAGGGAGTGTGGGGTGGGAAGGGGGAGATAGTCCCTGGGGTGCTGAGTGGAGTTAATGAGCAGTGGCACAGCGGGAAATCGGAGGACACCAAAGCCACTCGGTGGCTCTGGGTAAACATATGTGGCTAGAAGTAGAGCTCTAACTAATATCTATTTTTTGATGTTAGAGTCAAATAGGATTGAAGGCAAATTTCTGTTTGTTCTATACATTTGGAGCTACTGCTGTTTGAATTGGTTAGCATTTGAAACTGGTTTGGTTCCCATCAGTAAAAACAATTTTAAATGCTAACAGTGTTCTACATCCTCTTCTATACATATTTTATATGACCATCTGCTGAAATCCATGAATTGTGTTCTGGGCTTACCAGGGAAAGCAGTCACCTGATTCGAGAACCCTTTCTCTCAGAGGAAGCTGGGCCCCAGAGCTGAGGTTCTAACCCACGAGCTCATCATCCTCACCGTCAGTTGGCTGTTTCCCAATCAAGCACAAGCAGGGCACCTCACAGTGTTTCCATTTTATGAAAAAAGAGGTGGAGTCTCACAAAAGCCAGGTGACATGCTGGCTTCGTAAAATCGGCCCAGTTGCCCAGTTGGGAACAGGACCGAGTCCTCTTGCAGCTGTTTCCTTCTTGTTTCCTCTTTCTTGGAGCTGAGCCTCTGCTTCATTCCAAGACCCAGGCCCTTGAATCCCTTCTCTGTCCCTCCAAACTTCACAGGTTCTAGATCTACACTTGGGTTCAAATACTTTCCTGTCACTTCCTAAGCTGTGCAACTTATAGCATGTAATTTAACTTTCAGAGTTTTGGTTTCCAGACTTAAAAAAATGAGAAAGGAATAAATAAAACTTTTTATAAAGAATTGAGCTAAGTTGTAAATAAAGTATACCACACGTGCATACTCTAATACAGCCCCTCTCCCCTCATTCACCGTTCTTCCCCAAAAGAAACAGATCCTCAGAGGACTCATCTGTACTTTCCTTCAAAATTCAGCATGCCTCACTATCAGGCATTTCAGCCTTAGAGCTGCATAAGATTTCTTGGGCTCCTTCTCCCTGTTCAAGTCCTCAGCAAGGTGGCATTCTTGCTGGTCCAAACCCTCAGTACTCCTTGAGTCACTAAGTCGTTTCCTTTCCTCTGGATTCACCCTCTTAATGACCTCTGTCAACCTTTGGTCTCTCCATCCCTTCTCCAACATGCTAGAATTTTTCCCCAGCCATTGGCCAGGAAGAATATCTTAGAGGAAAAATAAAATCCAAACATCTTTGTAAATCCCATGATGGCTGCTGGCCATAGGGTCAGGCATGGAGGGTAGAGCACCCTCCTTCTATTTGCTGCTGGGTGGCCCCCTCCAAGGAGGAGCTTAGTCACCTCTCTGGATGGGCAGCACCAGGCAGCACTGCTCCCCATGCTCTGACACCCCAAGGCACTTAGCGTGCTACTGCTCTTAGAGTTTTTCTCTTTCTCTTCCTGCCCAGATTTCCCTTGACCAGACCTCTGTCCTGAGACCACACCTATATGTCCAACTACCTGACCATCATCTCCCTGAGAGGTGCCAAATACATACCAGAAGCCCAACATGTCCAAAACCAAATCCAGAATCTTCTCCCCAAACATGCTTTTTGTCCCCATTTCTCCCAAGGTCCCTCTCTGCCCATATCCAGTCACTAATGCCTGCCAGTTCCATCAACTAAATCCCTCCTCGGTCCAGAGCTCTCCACAGCCTCACCATCACCATTCTAAACTGTATCACCTTCTAGGCCTCTGGTCCTCTGTCCCCACCCTAACACATCCATTACCCTGTGGCCCAAGCGATCTTTCTCAGGTGCACACCTGATGTCATGCCACTGTTTAAACCTCTCCAATG